CTGCTGGGTGTCTCCTGCCTTAGTATTTGAGCTGGTCTCTGGCTGAGCTCTGTGAGCTGCTAGTAAATTCTGCCTGCTTAGGATACAGGGTTTCTTGTGTCAGTGCAGTGGTTGGAGCCTTGGTGATGATCCAGCCTGCCCCTTAGACTTCATATGCTCACTGTTACCTTACCTTTGTGTAGTCTCCCCTCGCTGAGAAAGCTCTCTTCCTCTTGGTCTTTTTCATCAAGCCTTTGGATACTTTTGTACATAGCTACTTTATGTGGCTTTGACTCCATCAACAGAAGAAGGCTGACTACCACCAGAGTGCTTGAAGTTCTCTCCTGGGGGCTATAGAAGGAAAATTACAGGGGGCCAGTGTTGGCACAGCCAGTTAAGCCACCACTTTTGACACTGGCATCCCTGTCAGCGCTGTGAGTCACCGCTACTCCGCCTCTGATCCAGCTCCTGCTAATGCACCCGGAAAGCAGTGGAAGATGGCCCAGGTACTTGGCTCCTTGCCATTCACATGGAAGATGCAGATGGAATTCCAGGCTTCTGGCTTCAGCTGGACCAGCCTGGGATGTTGTAGCTATTTGGAGAGTAGACCAGAATCTCTCTCCCTCTCCCTCTCCCTCCTTCCCTCCCTCCCTTCTCTCTCCTTCTCTCCCCACTTTCCAAATAAATAAATCTTTAAAAAGAAAGTTACAGAGAACTTGTCATCCAAAACCTTTTGAAGACCACAGTGATGTAAGTACCTTGAAGGCACTGGGTGTCAGGCTGAGTATATATAATTCAATGGATAGGCAAAAAAGAACCCATCCTGGAATGGGCTAGGCTAGCCCTGTTCAAACGATATGGCAAGGAAGCCTTGGGCTCTTAGTATCCAGGATGGTCCAGGGAGGAGGATTTCCTGAACAGCTTGGCCAGAGACAACACCTGATGTGTTCTGAGAACCTGTGAAGCAAGCACTGCCCATACCTGGTGAGCAGGGAACAGATGGGTAGTGGTTAATACAGCAGTCTCCTCTCTCTTTTTTTTTTTTTTTTTTTTTAAGATTTTATTTGAGAGGCAGAATTAACAGACAGAGGGAGAGACAGAGATCTTCCATCTGCCAGTTCACTCCCTAAATAGCTGCAATGGCCAGAGCTGGGCAGATCTGAAGCCAGGATCCAGGAGCTTCTTCCGGGTCTCCCACGTGAGTGCAGGGGCCCAAGCAAGCATTTGGGCCACCTTCCACTGCTTTCCCAGGCCATAAGCAGAGAGCTGGATTGGAAGAGGAGCAGCTGGGACACAACTAGTGCCCATATGGAATGGCGGCGCCACAGGCAGAGGCCCAGCCCACTATGCCACAGTGCTGGCCCTGACAGTCCCCTCTGTATTGGTGGTTTTGTTTTCTGACTTTGGTCCTGATTCATTTGAGAGATTTGCCTAATTGCAGTATGTTGCAAATAACTGTCTTGTTAGTAGTTGTTACTCTTGCTGTGCCTACTTTGTGAATTAAGCTTTATCATAAGTATGTAAGTATAGGAAAAAACGTAGTATATATAGGGTTTATCACTGTCTATGGCTTCTGATGGCCGTTGGGTGATCTTGGAAGGTATCCCCAACAGATAAGAGGGGACTACTGTATCACTTAGGGTCAGGAGCAGTGTTCCTGCAATCCAGTGTACCACTTATTCGTAAGACTTTGGGGGAAAGAAACTTTTCTGAGCCTCCACGTTTCTCCACCTGTTATTTAGTCAGCCAATATTGAATTGCCATTCTACACCCAGCTAGGCTCTGGGTGCTAGAGAGTATATTAGTAAGTTAAAATCCTCCTCCTGCTGGATTTTACATCCTAGTGTGGGGGAGACAGACAACCAAACTATATGTTGCAATTTTAAACTTGGTGGTCGCAAAAAAGGCATCCCTGGAGGTCATGTTTGAACCAAGACCTACAGGAAGTAAGGGTTGATCTAGGCAGGTGTCAGAGGGAAGAGTGAGATTCAAGTGGAAAGATCTGGCTGTTAAAGGCCAGCCTGGTGTGTTCCAGAAACAGCCAGAATGGTGTATGCTAGGGGCCGATGCTGGGTTGGGGGCAGATTTACAGGGCCTTATAGGCTATTGAAAGAACCCAGGATTGGGGCCGGCGCTGTGGCACAGTGGATTAACGCCCTGGCCTGAGGCGTTCCAATGGGCACTGGTCCGAGACCCGGCTGCTCCACTTCTGATCCAGCTCTCTGCTATGGCCTGGGAAAGCAGTAGAGGATGGCCCAAGTCCTTGGGCTCCTGCACTGCATGGGAGATTGGGGGGAAGCTCCTGGCTCCTGGCTCCTGGCTCCTGGCTTCGGATCGGCGCAGCTTTGGCCATTGCGGCCAATTGGGGAGTGAACCAGTGGATGGAAGACCTCTCTCTCTCTCTCTCTCTCTCTCTCTCTCTCTCTCCCCCTCTCCTTTCTCTCTGTGTAACTCTGACTTTCAAATAAATAAATAAATAAATCTTTAAAAAAAAAAAAAAACTCAGGATTTTATTGCATGTGGCAGGAATCCATGGTAGGGTTTTGGGCCGAGCAGCAACATGATATTTAATTTCAACGGGATCGGCCTGGCCTCTGTGTTGAGGGACAAGGGTGGAGCCAGGGACTGGGCAGAGGCTCTTGTGGTACCTCTGCAGGAGATAATGGTGCTGGACTGAAGTGGTGGGCCTGGAGGTGGGAAAGCGGTTTGACTCCAGGTGCATTCTGAAGGCTGAGCCAACAGGATTTGCTGATGGGTCAGATGTGGGGAAAGTGGCAGTGGCGGATGACTCCAGTGCATGTGCCGTGGGTGACTGGGAGGTCGGATTTATCAGTAGCAACAGGAGTGGGATAGCTTGGAGGGGAAGGTCAGAAACGCAATTTTGGACACATTACTTTTTTTTTTTTTTTTTAATTTTTTGACAGGCAGAGTGGACAGTGAGAGAGAGAGACAGAGAGAAAGGTCTTCCTTTTGCCGTTGGTTCACCCTCCAATGGCCGCCGTGGCCAGTGTGCTGCGGCCTGCGCACCGCGCTGATCCGAAGGCAGGAGCCAGGTGCTTCTCCTGGTCTCCCATGCGGGTGCAGGGCCCAAGCACTTGGGCCATCCTCCACTGCACTCCCTGGCCACAGCAGAGAGCTGGCCTGGAAGAGGGGCAACCGGGACAGAATTCGGCGCCCCAACCGGGACTGGAACCCGGTGTGCCGGCACCGCAAGGCGGAGGATTAGCCTAGTGAGCCGCGGCGCCGGCCAGGACACATTACATTTGCCATGTGGGGAGGCCTAGTGGGTTAAGTCACCACTGGTGACTCCAGCATCCCCTGTTGGAGTGCTGGTTAGAGTCCTGGCTGTTCTGATCCAGCTGCCTAATACCCTTGGGAAGGCAGTGGATGATGGCCCAAGTACTGGGTCCCTGCTTCCCAGGTGAGTACCCAGATGGAGTTCCAGGTCTCTGGCTTCAGCCTGGACCATCACCAGCCGTTGCCATCATTTGGAGAGTGAATAAGCAATGGAAGATTTCTCTAACTCTCCCTTTCTCTGCCACTCTGCCTTTCAAACAAATATTTTAAAAAATTGAGATGCAGGGACAGCATGGTGAGCTAGAAGCCAAATTAGGCAACCCTTTATTCTCCTGTTTTTGGGAGCTAAGATTGGGATGATAGTTGGAGGCAGAGGTGGGGCTGAGAGAAGCACTGTATTTTTTTTGACATGACAAGTGGGGCTTGCCTGCTTTGCAGGGCTAGTACACAGAATGAGGTTGTGTTTGGAGGATGTCGACAGGGAGGGCTCCTGACTGGCACTTGTTAATGATGACACTGATCAGTCACTTTGACATCATCGCCAGTGTCCTAACCCCCGGGGTGCTGTGAGGTCCCCAGAAGACTGGGCTTTGGAAGAGGAGGCAGCAGGAGCAGGGGCAACCTGCCTCAGTCCCCAGAATTTTGAAGTGTTATTTAGCTGCTGAACTGAGCAAACATGCTAATGAGTCACAAGATCAGCCGTGAGGATGTGAGAAGGAAAGGGAGGTGTGTGTTCTTTGCCTCCGTAGGTGTACAGTAGTCACAGGTTAGCATGGGAGAAGGGAAAGGAAGGGGCAAGCAACAGGCACTGTGTGCTGAAGCCCAGCTAAGGCACAGCCAGGAGCTGGCACAGCTGCAGTGGGCCGGACCAGAGTCGGGCACAGAGGGGAGGTCAGAGGCAAGTGGGAGACTGGTGAGTGACCCCACAGACTGGCACCCCCAGGGAATTGTCCATAGGAATGCGTCTCCTATCAGCCCCTTTACACGCCTGAGCCCAGAGGAATGGGAAGTGACCGCACGAGCCTCCAATGGACCCAGCCTCAGGGAAAGTGGCAGAGGGGACAAAGGCGGGCCCTAGGAGCAGCGTGGCTCTCTCAGCCCAGGCTTTCAGGCACTGGGGCCAAGCAAGGGGGCCAGGCCTCCCAACAACAGAACATCGGAGAGCCTGCTGAGGGGGAGGTAGAAGGGAGGGGGTTGCTCCTGCTGATGTGCTGGCTTGGAGCCAAGTTCAGGGTCAGCTGTGGGAGGGCCTCAGCCTCAGGGCTGGGCTTGCAGAGCCACCTCATCCAGGACAACGTAGGCCCAAATCTAATGAAGCAAAGAACTCTGAAACTCCTCCCTGGCCTAGGGAGCCCTGGGCCAGGAGCCACGAGGGGTGCAGAGCAGATCTGAGCCAAACCCGCTGGACTTGCATCAGCCAGGTCCCTGTCACAGACAGGGGAAGCCTGGAAGGGAGGAGCAGCTCTCGCAGCCACGCAGCAGCAGCTCCTGCCCCAGGGCTGGCACACAGCAGCAATGACTCCCAGGGGACATCCCGGCTGCTATCCTGGGGCACATGGGGCGCAGCTGAGCCCCTGCCACAGCTGCCCGGAGTTACCCAGGAGGTCACCATCCTGCCTCGGTGCCCAGGCTCCCCCCACACCCTGCCTTCCCCTTCCGGCCCCCTGACCACCTGCCCGGGCAGCCAGCCCCAGCGCACAGGAAATTGAGCCCAACGGCACACATCCTGGTTTGTGCCCAAGCTGGGGGCTTTTATTTACAGAAAAGCCTGAGTGAATTCGCGGGGGGGGGGGGGGGGGGGCAACGCCAGAGAGAAGGGCGCCGGGTGCTTAAATACTCAGTTGGGTGCCAGGAAGGAACCCATGCGCTGGCTCAGGAAGGCCCCCTCAGGGCCGTCGCTCACCAGCAGTCACCCAGTATGTTCGGAGAGTGACAGCGGGATCAGGGCGCAGCAGAGGCTCCGTCCACCTGCTCCCGGATGCAATGGCTGGCTGGCTGGCTGGCAGAGCTCGGGGCAGGGCTGGGGGATGTTTGTTCTGCTAACAGCGGAGGAGCGTGGCTCTGGGAGGAGAGCCCCCCCCACCACTTGCCTTGGGAGCTCTACTCGCCAGCAACACTGGCCCTGACCATGGGCCTCATCTGTGCACTCCGATGCCTTCCCTTCCCCCCATGTTCTAGAATATTCCACTTCTTCAAGACTCCTGGGTCCCACTCAGAAGGTCCCCGGGAAGTGAGGTTCCTGGGCCGCGGGCTGGGGTGCACGTCCACCCGGAGGGCACCTCCTCACTCCCCCTTAGAAGGCTCTGTCCTGGCCTCGTGCTCACGGCCCCTTGATGGATCCGGGCTCTACAAGGCGGGCAGACGTGTAGGCCGAGGCTCCAAGGCAGGCCGCCGGCTCACAGAAGCCCGGCAGCCCCACGGGCCCCGGCAGGCCAGGCCGGCCAGCCTCTCCTGGAGCCCCCGGGGACCCTCGGTCTCCATCTTTGCCGTTGATGGCCTGGCCAGGGCGGCCAGGGAGTCCTGCAAAGGGACAAAGTCCAGACATGGCGGCCTTCTCCTGTTTCGGTGAGTGTGTGTGTGTGTGGGGGGGATTCTTCAAATGGGGGAAAGGAGCTTCTGCGCTTGCGCCTCAGGCCCCCAGGCTGAGTCCAGGGCGCGCACGCCCCTCCCCCGCTCCAGCTCCAGGAATTGCCAGCCGCCCAGGCTCCGGAGGGCTGGAGAGGCAGGGTGTCTGAGGGTCGCGTGTTGGGGAGGCCTCTACAGGAGAGACCTGGGGGTCTGTGGTCATTACTCCCTGAGCTGCGGGACAGAACGGCGGCGGGGTGCGCGCTGGGCAGGGCTCGGGTCTCACCTGGGATCCCGGGGGGCCCGGGCATACCGGGATGTCCACGTCCCACTTCTCCTTGATCGCCCTTCTCTCCTCGTTTGCCTGTAGACAGAAGAGGGAGCCTTGGTTGCTCACAATCGGAAAATGTTTTCCCTACTCTGTGTGCAGTTAACTCCTGTTCCACACTGGGCGACCGTTGTGTGCTCCCGCATCCTAGGGGAAATGAGGGCGCAGGCCCCGAGAGGGGTGGAAGCTGACGCAGCCGTGAAGCTTGTTCTGGGCCGGTGAGTGCCGGCCCCTCCCCAGCGGGCCCCCCCCCCAAGCTCTATGTCAGCTGCCGCTGAAGGTGACCGTCTTTCCAACACCGAGAGGCTGGCAGTGCCAGTGTCCCCTGGTTACAGATGATACACCTAAGGCCCAGGGAAACTGACAAGAAACTGTCCAAGGGCCAGGACAGCAGAGTGGCAGAGTCTGGCCTCACAGCCCGGGCTCCGCCCCCTGCTCTACTGCTCTGACCACTGCTCCCCTGCCGTGGAAAGAGGGCTGGGGGCACCGGGAAGCAGCTTATAACAAACAAAACCCAAAGTATCCAAGGGTACACGAGTTGCCATGGATGTGCCACTGGGAGAGAAGGCCCAGGAATGTGTCTCTCCTGAGGATATGGGGGGAAGCAGCTGTGTCACTTCCTGGGGAGGGGATGAGCCCCCTGCCAGGGCTCTCTTGGCCAAATCCCCACACCCAGCCCCACTCCCGCCCCAGAGCAGCACTCACCCTTGGGCCCAGTGTTGCCAATCTGACCCACGGCTCCCACGATGCCAGGAATGCCCCGAGGGCCAGGGTGTCCGTGGGGTCCCTGTTTGCCTGGGTACCCAGGGGGCCCCGGGGGTCCTGGTGGGCCCATTATGCCCACAGCACCCAGGGCTTCACGCTTGGCACTCACAGCTACCTCTGCCAGTTGCTCTGGAGAGAGGGAAGGGTGGAAGGAGGGAGGGAGGGAGAGAGGGAGGGAAGGAGGGAGGGAGGTGTCAGCCCAGGAACCCCAGGGAAAGCAGAGCTGATGGCCCTGGCCCCAGGAGTACAGACACAGAGCCCCACCTTCCCCCATTCCCCACCCCCCCAACCCCCGTTTTACAGCAGTCAGGTCCAGGGTGGGTTATCTCAAGTTCCACCGCCAGGAAGGAGCCCCCAGGACTCCGGACTCAGGAGCTCTGCGGCCCCCTCACCTTGCATCATCTTCATCACCACGTCCACGATGTGCTGGTCACTGGGGTCGCGGCCCTAGAGCAGGGGCGCCATCAGCGAGGAAGCCTCTGGCTGCCGGGGCTCTGCAGCCGCACTCACACCGGCCTCTCCCGGGCAGCCTCGGGGGACTCCCAGCCTTGGGGGGCCACTCACCGCCACGCCCTGTCTCCCGGGCTGTCCTGGTAAGCCGCGGTCTCCGGCCATCCCTCGAGGTCCGGGGAGCCCGGGGTAGCCCTGCTCGCCGGGGGCGCCCGCATCCCCGCTGGGGCCGGGGTAGCCGGGTTCTCCGCGGACTCCTGGCTGCGGAGCGGGCGCAGGGCTGTGGTGAGCGGGCGCGTGCGGGGACAGGGGGTCCCGGGGCCAAGCCCCGGGGAAGCAGCCGGACTGCGAGCGTCGGGGACGAGACTCACCTGTCCCTTAGGTCCCGGCTCTCCAGACTCGCCCTGCGGGCACAAGGAGCCGTGGTCATGCACGGAGGACCTGGGCCGGCCGCCCGCCCGCTCGCCCCAGCCCGCGCTCTCACCTTCTCGCCTTTCTCTCCGCGGAGGCCTGCCACGCCAGGGTCGCCCTGCAGAGAGAGCACCGGGGTCAGACGCACGGTGGCAGCGGGGTGGAAGCTGAGGCTGCGGACCCCAGGCTCCCCGCGCGCGACGCCTGCACAGCGGAGACGCGGGCACTAGGACTCACCACTCCGCCGCGGGGCCCGGTCTTCCCTGGGGAGCCCTGGAAGAGAGGGGGCAGTGAGGAGCTTGGCGAGCTCCCCTCTCTCGGTCCCCGCTCATCCCCCTCTCCAACTCCGCCTTGCCCCCAGGGCCACAGAGAAAGCTCTTCGCCCCCCCCCCAACCCCACCCATCTGCCTTAGGGCCTTTGCCAGGTATTTCCCAGCCGCGTTGTGGCACCTTTTCACCCTTAATGCCCGGCAAGCCTTGGGGCCCTGGAATTCCCGGCGATCCTTGCTCCCCTTTGGGGCCCTGTGGAGGAAAGAAACCAGAAGGGAAATCAAAGGAGGGGCTGGGGAGGTGCTGCCCAACCCCCCCCCCCCCAACCTCAGCGACCTGCTCTCACCTGGCGTCCTTGAGGGCCTGGCTGCCCCACGGGGCCCCTCTCACCCTGGTCACCCTGAAATGGAAAGAGGAGGTCGCACTGCAGCAGGGCTCCATAACCTGTGATGCTGGGTGCCCTCCACTCCTGTTGTCCCCAGCAGGGGTCACTTGCTCCACCACACACTGAGGCCTCACACCTCATTGACTGGGCAATACCTGGCAGGTGCTGGGGCCAGAGCAGACCCAGATCCTGCACCAGCAGTGCCAGCTGCTGCCAGGGCCCCAGCAAGGGACCGCTGTGCCAGGCACTTACCTTCTGCCCCAGGATGCCACGGGGACCAATTTCCCCTCGAGGTCCCGGCTCTCCCTGGCGGAAGAAGAAATTGGTAAGCAGGGGGCCTAGGACAGCTCTTCCGCTCCCTGCCTGGCCCTCCCCACCTTGGGCCTCAGCTTCCTGGCTTCATCAGGGAAGACCTCGCAGACCCCCTATCACAGGCTCCCAGGCCCCTGGCCTTTTCCTTCCACAACCGCCATTATTTATTTATTTCATTATCTGTCTTGTCCACTGCATAGGAGCCCGTGTCTCCCTCGGTGTCGAGCACAGTTGCGGGCACCGGGTGTCCAGGAAATGAATGACTCTGCCTGCTGCATCCTGAGCGCAGTCAGCCTGGCCATCTGGAGAGCTCACGTCCAGTGACAGCTCCAGTCCCCACCCTCACTGCCTTGCACACAGGGAACGGGGCCCTTCCTGGGCCTGTGGATCAAGGCAGAGCCCAGACTAACGCTGGACAGCCCAGGGTTAGGGCACCACCCGATGGCCTCGCCATGGTCCAGGGCCAAGTGCAAAGCCCTGAGGCCAAGCAGGAACCTCGAGTCAGTGAAAGGGACACTTACCTCCTTCCCAGGGGGACCAGAGAATCCAGGGAGGCCCTGCTGGCCTGGCTCACCCTGCAGGAAAACACAGGTCACAGGTCAGCCTGTGTGGCCTGGGGGAAGCCCAGTGACCCCTAAATCAAGACTGGAACCAAATGAGTCAGGAAGGGAGAGAGCTCAGGGCAGAGGCCTCTAGGCTCCACTGAGTGTCTTGTGTCTGTTTCTCCTGTGGCTGCGAAGCTGGGCCACCCTAGCTCCCCTGAGCCAGGCTGAGGGCCAGAGGGTGAGGAGTAGGAGAGAGGCACTTAGGCCCCAGCGCTGTGCGCTCAGACCGTGTCTCTGAGCCTTGGGTGGGCCTGGGCCTTCAGGCTGCCTTGCACAGATGAGATCAATTCTACCCCCAGTTGGGGTCATCTCACCTTGTCTCCAGGACCTCCTTTTGTCCCGGGCTGGCCTGGAACACCCTGCAGGAAGAAGCTGGCATCGGTTTCTGCCCTGGCACGGGGGAGCCCTGTGCACCTGCCGCCTTGCCTCCCCGCCCCAGTCCAGGTCCTCTTCCCTGGGGGAGCTGACTGAAAGGCCCAGCCCCAGTGTCAGAACTTGGCTGCACCCCTGAGCCAGGAGGTGTGGGCTGCAGAAAACAGCAGCCTGCCAGGGCCTGCGCTCCGTGGGGAAAAGGTGAACACGCCTATGTGCTCCTGGGCACATGGGGCCATGTGTGCACATTCACGTGCATACACGTGTGTCTGACTGCAGACTCTGCCAGGCACTGCCCCAGCAGTGGGGGTGGGGCAGCTCCCAGGGGCTGGGCTCCAGCATGGGCTGGATGGGCCGGAGGTGCAGAGAAGGCAGGGAAGGCCATGCCCAGCGGAGGGCCCAGCAAGGGTCCGGGAGAAAAGCCTTGGCAGTGCGGAGAATGGGAGAGGACCAAGAAGGGCAGTGGCTGATGGGGCAGGAGGGGAAGGCTGGGCCACACTGCAGCAGCCACTGAACTCTCGGACGAGCTGGGAGGGTAAGGTTGCCTCTGTCCTGTTCATCACCGTATCCCTGTCGCTTACTGTACCCCCGATACTCAGCAGCTATTCAATGAGTGCCTGGATTGAATGACTTTTTCCTGGAGGTAATGGGAGCCATGGAAGGTGCTTTCACAGGGCAATGAGCAGATTCCACTGAGCCAACATGGAGGACTGGAAGGGTCCAAGAAGAGCCCCCAGCAGTCGTCCAAATGATGAGGCCTAACTCAGGGACCACACAGTCAAGAGCCTGAGGGTGTAGATTTAGACCTCATCAACCACTAGTGCCCTTGTGGGGAGGCGGGCCACAGCGAGCCTGGCCTCTCCCAGGCCAAGGGGATGGAGGAGGAGCAACCTGCCCCCAGTACTTACTGCGAGGCCCTGGTGGCCTGGGCTCCCTGGCCGCCCCGCCTTTCCTGCACTGCCCTGGAGAGACAGAGAAGCATGGGGAACAGTCAGAGCTCCAGCCAGAGGGTCCCTGACTCACATCCAAATGCAAGGAGGGAGACCAAGAGCCAGAGGCAGGAAGAGCCCTGTCTGTGACACCCTGGAGGATCTCAGGCCCCAGCCCCAGGATTGATGTGATGGGAGGAGAGACCCTGGCCTCCCCCCCTCCCCACCCCCAGGCTGACCCCTCTCCTACCTTCATGCCAGGTATGCCTGGGGTTCCATCCTTGCCGTTGATGCCTGGGGGGCCCTGCTTGGAGGGAAAGTTCAGGGGAGACTCGCATTGGGGTGATGCATGGGATCAAGCCGCTCCCCCCACCCCCTAACCCCATGGCAGCTGCAGTACGCAGGGAGGGCGTGGGTCTGGTTGTCTCAGGGAAGCCCACTGGCTACGGGGGAGGGTGGTGCTGGAGGGCAGGGTGTCAGACTGCTAGGGGCTTCCCATGAGCTCTCCAAGGTAGCACCCCCTAGTCACAGGAGAAGAAACTAAGAAAAGGGGGGTGTTTCCTGAGGTTCAGTCTGCAAGCCCAGGCTCCTCCTCTGGGGGTTTTCACAAATTGGACCGTGACCTCTCCCCAGGTGGGCCTGGCCTCTGGCACTTACGGCTGCTCCCTTCGGGCCTGTGATCCCCTGGGGTCCTTGAACACCTGGGCTGCCCTGCAAAGTAGAGCTCAGGTCACTTTCAGGATGCTGAACCCTGTCTGCCTGTGCAGAGGGGGATCGGCCGGGAACCGTCGCCTCTGGCTCCCAGGGTCCCCTGGCCGTGGCTGCCCCGGGCAGGGGCTGTAGGAGAACCAGGCAGGTCAGCACTGAGCAGCCAGGCTGGGCTGGGGAGGTCCGGGGGTGTGAGCCGGCACCCGCCGAGACCCTGGCCACTCAGACCCCAGCTCCTGTTGGGTAAAGAAACACAGCAGCCAAAGGCATCGGTGGGCTTTCAGTGGGTCTTGACCTGAACAAGGACCATGAAAAAGCATTTCAAGATGCCTGGGAAAAACTGGACACAGACTGGCTATTTGACGCTATAACGAGATGTGGTTTCTTCTGCGAGCTGTGACAATGCTGAGTATGTGAGGCCTTGGCCTTATTGGTTAGAGACAGAGAGACACTTTGGGGTGAAATGGGAGCATGGGAAGGCCTTGCTTGAAGCATCAGAGCAAAGCGAGGATAAGTGAGGGACGGGGGGACAGGCGGACGAATGAGGCAAGCATGACACAGTGGCAACATTTATGTGCCTGGGAGGCAGGCCCAGGGGTTCCTCCCAGCATTCTCTCTACTTTTCTGTGTATTTTAAAATTGCATTGAAAAACTAAAACCTAAAAATAATTAAGTGTACTTTATGCTGTTTTTTTTTTTTCTGCCAAAAGGGCTATTAATTAAAAAATAGAAGTAAGAGAGGGAAGAGATCCGGGTTCTGGACCAAATCTCATTAGCCTCATGACTGGTTTGCGGGAATTTCATTGTCTGGCCCTGGGACCATGGACTGGATCCCCCGGCTTCTCTCCAAGTTGGAACTGGGGCTGAGTGGCCTCTGGACATGCCAGCAGTGAGCCTCACAGGCCCAGATGCACACACATAAAAGCATATATATGCACACATAGAGATATACATACACACACCCACAGACACACATATGCACAGACACACATGCACACATACTTATATATACACACAAATACATGTACACAGAAACACATACACATATGTACACACACATATAGAGACACACAGACACATATACACAGAAACACACACGTATGCACACATGCACACAGAGACACACATACACACAGGCACATACACACATGTACACACAGAGAAATGCATGCACACACAGACACATGCACACGGAGACACATATGCACACACACATACATATGCATACACAAACACACATGCGCACACCACACCAGCCTTGGGTGCAGCTGAGTGCCACCCAGCACCCCCAGAGCCCTGGCTGGACAAGGGGCACCTCGGGACTCACCACATCTCCCTTCTCCCCAGCTCGGCCTGGTGGCCCCCGTGGGCCTTCTTCACCCTGGCAAGAAGGACAAACGGCTTCAGGTCCCATGGGCTCGGGGGAGCCTCACACAGTCTGCAGCCGCGGGAGCCCAGCTTGGCAGTGGATAGAGGAGCAGGCTTACCGGTGGCCCTGCAGCGCCGATGGAGCCCACCATGCCTTTGTACCCTTGAGGACCCTGGAGAGAAGACAGGGTTGAAGTCTGTCCTGGCTGGACCCCAGAGGCTGCCAGGCTGGCCAGGGCATATCCTGGTTTCACTCACCATCTCTCCCTTGGGTCCCGCCATGCCTGGGTAGCCTCTGATGCCCTGCGGACCCTGTGAAGGCAGAGAAATCCAGCAACAGTGACTGCAAGCCCCCTTCATGCACCTCCTCTGACACCGCCCCCCAGCCACTGCCCCATGTGAGGTGGGCAGCATAACCTGGACGGCACCCATGGGGCAGTGGTGTTCACGGATGGAGAGGAACTCGCCAGGTGTCACTCAGACGGCAGAACCTGAACCCTGGCCTGGCCTGCAGGCTGGTAGCTTTGGTCCCGTCCCCTAATTCCTGACAGCCTCAGCCTCCCTCTCCCCCCAGCAGCTGGACACAGCTGGACACAGGTGACTCTTGTACAGGCCCGAGGCCCGGCAGGGAGTGACTCCGGGAAGAGCTCCAAGGACGAGGGCGAGCGGGCACAGGGCACACGTTCCTTACCGGGGGTCCGGGGATGCCTGGCTCTCCAGAAGCTCCCACATTTCCCTTGGGGCCCTACGGGGCAAGGAGGGACATCAGGCAGGCAGACAGGGGAGGACTCTGCCCCCTCCCAGCAAAAGCAGCCAGCAGGGAGCCTTGGAAAGCACGCAGAGCCGGTTACAGACGGGGACCCCAAGGCTGAGCAACAAGGGGTGCCTCCTGCGTCCCAGCTCAAGGCTACCCCAGAACCCACAGAAAGGGGCAAGGGGTGAAGGGGGCACAGGACCCTCTTCCCACATCCCCACTCCCTCGGCCCCCGGCCCTCACGCTTACCGGCTTCCCCTGGCGGCCAGGATCACCAAGAAGCCCACTTTTGCCCGGGTGCCCCTGAAGGGGAGAGGGGTCAGCATGAGGTCCCCTCTGGATCAGCAGCTCCACCCTCCCGAGACCCAGGCCAGCAGCTCTTACCTTCACGCCCTGTAGCCCAGGGGGCCCTTTCGCTCCCGCAGGACAGTTGGTTGGACACTGGAAAGACAACGCCACAGAGCCCTGGGGTCAGTGGCCTGGTGGAGGCCCCTAGGCAGTGCCACCCTATCTTGTCAATTCCTGAAGCCTCCCCCTCCTCCCCTGGCCGGACCTCTGTACTGCAGCCCCGGCCCACCTCTCCCTGAGCCTCCCTCCCGGAATGAGCCGGGCCCAGACCCCGCCTCTCACCAGGAAGTCTGCGCTGCCCTCCAGGCCCTGGATGGTCCCCGGGCGGCCCTGAGAGGAGACCGTTGATGATGGAGCTGGACCTCACCCTTCTCCATCCCAGGCTTGCTCCTCCTCCAGGAGCACGTGAGGAGGTCTGAGGGCACTTACCGGTTTCCCAGGAGGTCCTGGGGGCCCTGAGGGTCCCTCTGGTCCAGGATCCCCCTGAAGCAAGAGGGGCCCAAATCATATCTCTGGCCAGCCCTGCCCCAGGCAGCCACGCTCCCTCCTCCACTTCCTGCCAGTGCACTGCGCAACTGCCCTCCAGGGCACCTCCTGAGAGCCACCAGGCTGGGGAGATCAAGACCTAAACTATCGATGGTAGGCCTGGCTCAGCGGCAGGGGTTCCTGGCCCAGGCTGGAGCAGTCCCTTGGTGTCCATCAGCAGGCCCAGGAGCTTCTGGGACGCCCCCTCCACTAACCAGCTCAGACACCCGAGGCAGAGGGGGTCAAGTGGAGCTCACCTTGGGGCCTGGGATTCCGATCTCTCCAGGGAGGCCGACAGGTCCAGGCGGTCCCTGGGGAGCAGAGATGTGGCTGGCCAAGATTCCCCGGAGGCTCAGGCCACCCTGGGCAGGCAGGTGGGGCCAGGCACCCAGAGCCCCCTTTCCCATTGGGACTTTTTGACCAACCCCAAACAGTCAGGTTAGGGCTCACAGGACCAGAGAATTCCAGACGGAGCGCACAGCACCAGAGTGGGCTGGCCTGGCCCCCCTCCCCACTACCGTCGCCCCATCCCTGACATGGTCCTGGCTCGCCGCCCCGCCCCTCATGGCAAGTCCTCTGGAAGCCCTTCTGTTGTCCCCGCAGACTTACAGGTGGTCCAGCGAAACCAGGGCCCTGGAACAGAAGGGAAGGAGATTGGGCTCATGGCTCCCGGTCGGGTCCTCCCTGCCTTCCCTCCCAAGAGCCCTTGCAGGTTGTACTCACCGGCAGGCCCGGAGGGCCGGGGAGCCCAGGTTGGCCCTGCAAGGGGAAGGGCAGAGGCTCAGAGCTGGGGGTCTCCTGGGTCCCTGCTCCTCTCAGCTGAAGCCCACCCCCCGCCCCCAACCTCAGCCCTAGCTCATCCATGCCAGTCCCCCGGAGCTGCACTCACCTTGACTCCAGGGGCTCCCATGGGCCCGGGCTCCCCCTTGGCTCCAGTCAAACCCTGCGGAAGAGAGAGCAGGCAGGATGGAGGGAGGATCCCCAACCGCAGGGAGGGTGGGGCCGGCGGCCTCTGCTGGGAGGGCCCAGGCTCCCTTTCACCACAGCCCGCAAAGGCCTCCCTCGCCCCGTCCTCTGTCCTCTGTGTGCACAGTCACCCTAGCAGGCAGGCAGAACAATCAGCCTCTTGGGCAAGATGAGAAACCCGGCCCAAAGATTTGTCGGCCGAGGGCTCCCAGCTCCTCGTCAGGGAGCCCAGGCCATCTAGACATGGGTCGGGAAGGTCGATCCACCATCGTTGACTTTCTGAGCCTCAGTTTACTCATCCTCAGAATGGGTTCATCGTACACACGTGTCTTCTGTGAGAACCGATGTGCCAGTAGGAGGCAAGGTACTTGGTACTCTCCGCAGGGTGCAGCTGGGTTTGGAGGCGCCCTGGGGGCTGACCCCAGCCCTAGGCACACCTCTGGAGCCAGCAGGGCTGCAGCGGCTCCTGGGGGCCTCTCCTTCCAGGAGGGTGTGTCCCCACCCCCCATCCCCACCCTGCAGGGTGGCTGTCCTCCTAGCACCCGGGCTGGCTGTGTCTGGGAGCCCAGAGGTGGGTGCCCTGTGGTATCAGCTCCTCTCCTGAGCTGTGTGGTTTTGGAAGTGAGGGGGTGGAGTGGGGGTGGGGAAGGACAGGGCCCCCGAGGACAGCGCGGTCCAGTGTGTTCAGGCTGATCCTTGGAGGCCAGAAATGGGACACTCAGTCGCGAGGGCTGTGACTGAACAGGACAATTGCACCAGGTGAGAGGCCCCTCTATGCACCCAGCCCCCCAGCCCCCCTCCCCGGCAGGCAGCGCTTCCGGGGTGGGTGTGAGCCTCCCGTGGGGCTCACAGCTCAAGAGTCTCCCTCCTGCTGCCAGGCTCTAAGAGATCCACGAAGGCGCCAGAGCCCAGCTCCGGAGTCAATAAGGTGACCCTAACCCCCTAACCCGCACTCGCCACACCCACGTCAGCTCACATCAATCCCTGGCTTCCCGTCCGCTCCGTCTGGCCCGGCTTTGCCAGGCTCTCCCTTGGGTCCCTGGAAACACAGGGATGGGGCAGATGTTAGGGGAGGAGGGCAAGGTTGGGAGGGTCAGAGGTCAAAGTGGAAAAGCACTCACCGGAGGGCCAGCTTTCCCAGGAGGCCCCTTGTCACCCTGGAAGACACAAGACACAGATGGGCTCACGCTGGCCAGTCCCAAATGCCCCCTCCTCATGCTCCTCTTCTCTGCTCCCCACCCCTCAGCCTTGCACGTTTTAGGAAAGTAGCCCCCTGTTCAGCTATCCCCCCAAAAAACTCAAAGTCTTAAGGGCATGGAGACCCCCCCAGCCAGGCTGGAGGTGTTACCCAGTGCACCACTGGGTGAGCCAGGAGGGGGCCAGACCTCCCCAATGGGGGGGGGGGCGCCTCTGGCTACCTCGGGCTTGAGCAAGGGTGGGGCCTCAGGTGAGCCCGGTGGGCAGCGACTCCATCCCAGGTGACTCCATCACCGGGCAAGGACAAGGGCGCCTCTCGGAGGTGAGTTCAAAATGTTCCCGGGGCAGCAGGGAGCCCTCGCCCCGGTGCCAGAGGCCCTCGGTGTAGTCAGAGTCAGCCCCAGAGGGGCCCCCGGGCCTTGCTGGGCCTGGGCCTGCAGCCGCCACAGAGCTGGCAGAGGCCCAGCGTCCCGTGTCTGGGCAGTGGGGCACCAGGCTGAATAGGAGTCTGTCCAGACGGTAAACACGGAGCCGACCT